CAACCCTGTGGGGTAGGCTAGGATGAGAGTATGTGAGAGACCCAAGGTCAACCGGCAAGCTTAAGAACATAAGAGATGCCAATGTTGGATCAGGCCAAAGGCCCATCCAGTCCAACACTCTGTATCACACAGCGGCCAGAAATACCAGGTGCCATCAGGAGGTCCACCAGTGGGGCCAGGACATTAGAAGCCCTCCCTCTGTTGACCCCCCCCCCCCCAGCACCACGATGACAGAGTCCCTATCTATACCTTGTGGCTAAAAGCTTCCATGGCAGAAGGGGGGTTCGAACCAACCAGGAGGACTTCTAGTGTCCCGGCCCCACTGCCGGACCTCCTGATGGTGCCTGGTATTTTTGGCCACTGTGTGACATAGATTGTTGGACTAGATGGGCCATTGGCCTGATCCAACGCTGGCTTCTCTTATGTTTCTTATGTTCTTATGTTAACCGGGTGATGCTCTCTCAGTGCCCAAAGCCTTTTCCATACCAAACCCACCCTTGATAGAAATGGATCTAGTTGCTCCATCTCTTCCGAGAGCAGAAAGCCGCCACCCTTTCAAGCACCTTGCCCAAGAGTGGAGTGTTGGCCACTGGGTAGTCATTATGCAGGTTACTGGGATCTAGGAACATGTTCTTCAGGAACTATCTCGTGGCCGCCTCTTTGCAAGTGGTCGGAACTGTGTCTTCCCACAGAGAGGCGTTTAGGCTCCCTGTCTCGGCGAGAAACCATCAGCCACAGCCTCGTCTTGCTGCCCTGCGCAACTCTTAGTCATCTGGCTCACTTCGCCAGGCCTCGCCAACTGGAAGTCATCCAGACAGATTGCATTGTGTGCAGTAGTTACGAACACGTGAAGCTGCCTTATACTGAATCAGACCTTTGTAGCCCATCAGGGTCAGTATGGTCTACTCAAACTGGCAGTGGCTCTCCAGAGTCTCAGGTGGAGGTCTTTCACATCACCTGTCACCTGGTCCTTAAGAACATAAGAGAAGCCCATGTTGGATCAGGCCAATGGCCCATCCAGTCCACCTCTCTGTGTCACACAATGGCCGAAAATACCAGGGGCCATCAGGAGATCCAGCAGTGAGGCCAGGACACTAGAAGCCCTTCCCACTGTTGCCCCCCCCCCAAGCACCAACTTGCCCCAGAGCCCCTAGCTATACCTTGTGGCTAATAGCCACTGATGGACCTCTGCTCCATATGCTTATCTAATTCCCTTTTGAAGCCGTCCATGCTTGTAGCCGCCACCACTTCCTGGGGCAGTGAATTCCATGTGTTAATCACTCTTTGGGTGAAGAAGGACTTCCTTTTATCCGTTCTAACCCGACCGCTCAGCAATTTCATGGAGTGCCCATGAGTTCTTGTATTGTGAGAAAGGGAGAAGAGTACCTCTTTCTCTACCTGCTCTGTCCCATGGATAATCTTATAAACCTCGATCATGTCACCCCTCAGCCGTCATTTCTCCAAGCTAAAGAGCCCCAAGCGCTTTAACCTTTCAACTGGAAATGCCAGGGATTAACCTGGGACCTTCGGCATGCAAAGCAGATGCTCTGCCACTGAGCCACAGCCCCTTCCTTTAGGTTCCCTCTTGTAGTAAAGTTTGTTGGTGCTGAAAGACTGGGTGCAGCTTCACAGTTAAGTGCTGACTTGGGGCTACTGATCTGGCTCAGCAGTGCTTTCCGCAGGGAGTATTTGTTCAAGGTTGACTAAAGCTGTATAAAAAGAAGATGGTTATTGCAACCCTTGTGAGCAAACTCTGCTACTCCTTGTGAACTTATCTCAAGCCTTTAATCAACACAACGCAACAGAGATGAGCTACACGCCGTCAACATTTGCCATGCCAAATAGACGCATGTTGGGTTGTCAAATTTGGGGATTCCTTGGGAACTCGTGGGCACTCCATGAAATTGCTGAGCGGTCAGGTTAGAACGGATAAAAGGAAGTCCTTCTTCACCCAAAGAGTGATTCACACATGGAATTCACTGCCACAGGAAGTGGTGGCGGCTACAAGCATGGACGGCTTCAAAAGGGAATTGGATAAGCATATGGAGCAGAGGTCCATCAGTGGCTATTAGCCAAGGTATAGATAGGGACTCTGGGGCAAGTGATGCTCTGTCATCTTGGTGCTTGGGGGGGGTCAACAGTGGAGGGCTTCTAATGTCCTGGCCCCACTGGTGGACCTCCTGATGGCACTGGTATTTCTGGCCACTGTGTGATACAGAGTGTTGGACTGGATGGGCCTTTGGCCTGATCCAACATTGGCATCTCTTATGTTCTTATGTTCTTTAAGCAGTGGCTCAACAGATGCCAGGGGTTGAACCTGGGACCTTCTGCATGCCAAGCAGAGCCCGAGACCTTCTGCATTCAAAGCACAGGACCTTCCGCATGCAAAAAGGGACAACCTTTTCTGCCTCTTGTGAGTGTCAAGTCTGTGAGCCACCAGTTTCCTTCAAGGTATATGCTTTCGTGTGCACGCAAACTTTATTTTTTAAATTATTGTTGTTATTAGATTTGTATCCTGCCCTCCTGCATAGCAAGTTCAGGGCGGGTCAGATTTCTTCAGATGCATTGAAATGGAAGTTACCAGTCCATGCATATGGGTAGAAGGCAAGCAGCAAATTAGCATCCAGCATAATAAAGGCGTTTAACAGATGCAAGGACCAAACTGGAACAACAAGCTTAGTTTATAAGGTCACCAGGGTTTTTTTTGCATTTAATTCCGGAGGGAAACATAGGGATGTTTGCTTTTAATGGCAAACATCTCGGTGCCCAAGTCAAGAGACCAAGTCAGAGGCACACCCCTTGTGGGGGTAAAATATACGGGTGAGTTCACCCACGGGTCGTCCATTGGCCCTTCAAGGGACTGCAGAATCTGCAGTGCAAGGCGAGGTCGCCTCATTCCACCCAGAGGTAGAGTCAGCACTGCCAGACAAAGAGATGGCGCCGCTGGATGAACTGGGCCTCAAATGCCTCCTAAAGATCAAAAGTGAGAGGGTCAGGTGCGCCTCCTTAGGGAAGTCGTTCCATAATCGTGGGGCTGCCACTGAAAAGGCCCTTTCCCTGTGATCTTAATTCCCCGGGCAGGAATATATAGGAGAAGATGGTCCTTCGGATACCCCGTCCTGAAGCTGTGTAGGGCTTCTAAAGTCAAAAACGGGACCTTGAATTGAGCTCAGGGGTGGATCGGAAGCCAGTGTAATAGCTCTAATATTGAGGTGGCGCGCTTCTGACAGCTGGCCCTGACCAGTGGTCTAGCTGCAGCATTCTGCACTAATTGCAGCCTCTGAACACTCTTCAAGGGTAGGCTCAAGTAGAGCACATTGCAGTAGTCCAGTCCAGGTGTAACTGAGGCATAGATGCTATGCTGGGGATTATTAGGAAAGGTATGAAAAACAGATCCGCCAGTATCATAATGCCCCTATATAAATCAATGGTGCGACTTCATTTGGAGTACTGTGTACAGTTCTGGTCACCACACCTCAAAAAGGATATTATAGCATTGGGAAAAGTGCAGAAAAGGGTAACTAGGGTGATAAAAGGGTTGGAACACTTTCCCTATGAACAAAGGTTAAAAGCGCTTGGGGCTCTTCAGCTTGGGAGAAATGACGGCTGAGGGGTGACATGATCGAGGTTTCTAAGATTATGCATGGGATAGAGCAGGTTGAGAACAATACAAGAACTCTTTGTGGGGACTCCATGAAATTGCTGAGCGGTCAAGTTAGAACAGATAAAAGGAAGTCCTTCTTCACCTAAAGAGTGAAGAACATGTGGAATTCACTGCCCCAGGAGGTGGTGGCGGCTACAAGCATGGACGGCTTCAAGAGGGAATTAGATAAGCATATGGAGTGGAGGTCCATCAGTGGCTCTTAGCCACAAGGTACAGATAGGAACTCTCAGTCTGGGGCAAGGGATGCTCTGTATTCTTGGTGCTTGGGGGGGGGGAACAGTGGGAGGGCTCCTAGTGCCCTGGCCCCACTGCTGGACCTCCTGAGGGCACTTGGTATTTCTGGCCACTGTGTGACACAGAGTGTTGGACTGGAGGGGCCATTGGCCTGATCCAACATTGGCTTCTCTTATGTTCTTATGGATCAATGTGGTTAGATCTGAGTGAACCGGGAATGGGTGCAGTTAATGCACCAGTGGAAGCAGGGCGAAAGCACTCTGAGCTGCCTGGTTTTCTACGGTGACCGCTGTATTGAGTAGCACTCCTGACCTGTGAACCTGGCTTTTCCTGCCTTCATTCTCACCGTTCCACACACAATTTTTAAAAGCTCCATGGGTGTCGTCCGGCCCAAGCTGGCCCGTCGTTTTCTCTCAAGTGGAAACCTCTACAAACACTTGGAAGCCTTTTTCCAGTGCCATAACTCCTAAACCAGGGGTGTCAAACATGCAGCCCGGGGGCTGGATTAGGCCCCCGGAGGGCCTTCATCAGGCCCGCAGTGGAACTGGCCATCTCCTGCTTCCAGTTCTGCTGCTGCTGCATCATAGCTTGCTTCGCCAGACTCTTAATCACTCAGCCATTTCGTGTTTTAACCTGGGTCCCAGGCTCAGAACTCTGAGCATGAGATTTCTGTGGTGAATGTCAATAAATCAAAAGCAGGTTTGCAGCTTACAGAGCTAATGTTTTAAGCATGTTTTTGTTTTAAGGGGGAAAAATCTTTGTGTTTGTGTCCTTTATAAAGTTTATATCTCCACTACCTGGCATCACATCACTACCTGGCCCGATAAGGTCTCATTTATGTCAGATCCGGCCCTCATAATTGAGTTCAACACCCCTGTCCTAAACTGTTAGAGCTTCTCCTCGCGCCCAGCTTTTCTGTCCCCCGCTTCGGCCTGAAGAGAATTTTCTCCCGTTTCCTGAGTGGTGCCGATCCCTCCAAGGGCGTTTTGATCCTGGCCCTCTGGTGTTTGGCCCCTGTCGTAGTCATCCCTCGCCGGGAGCGCCTGAGGCACACGCATACATGGTTTGATAACCAGACCTTTCGTCTTCCTTCGCAGGCCGTGCTGGGTAAATCGGGCGCCCGCGTAGCTTCCCCTGCTCAAGCTGCGGCAGAGAAGAAATCGTTAGCGGCTGTAAGTGCTCTGTGGAGGACCCTGGGGAGAAATGGAGGGTCACGTATTAAAATATTGACGCCTCGCCTTTCCCTAGAAACGAGGCTCCAAGGTGGCTGACGACGAGCCATTCGGTTTGGTGTAGTGGTTCAGTGCGCGGACTCTAATCTGGGAGAACCGGGTTTGATTCCCCACTCCTCCACTCGCAGCTGCTGGATGACCTTGGGCAAGCCATAGTTCTGCCAGAGCTGTTCTTGAAAAAGGGTCGTTTCTGTCAAGAGCTCTCTCAGCCCCGCCTCCCTCACGGGGTGTCTGTTGTGGGGAGGGGGAGGGAAAGGAGTTTGTAAGTCGCTCTGAGACACCTTTGGATAGTGAAGGGCAGGGTATAAATCCAATCTCTTCTACTTCTTCTTCTTCAGTACACAACCGTCAAACCCCCCTCTCCATTAAGATTATCTCAGAAAAGCCCAGCCTGGCGCCAAGGGTTACCAACCTCTGGGTGGGGTAAACATGGAGAATCACCGTGTTTAAACGAAACACACCATTCTGATATGCTAGTATAACCATTATTTGATTAAATCATAAAATATACAGTAAAGACCTAATAATTATAGTGCACTGATAGCAATGACACAAAGATATACAAATGAATATAACCATATAAATCTTGTAGGAATGTCCAAAGCTTCAGAAAAGAGGTGCGGCAAACGTCAAGCAACACGCCTCCCAGGCAAAAGTTGCGTGTTTCAAGAAATTCTTCTTCAGGCACATTATTTCTCCTGGAACCGAAGCTCACAATGCTACACTGCACAAGCCAAGAAATTCTGTAGTTGTTCATGACATTTGCTGTAATTTGGTGTAGTGGTTAGCAATGCTCCCTCTAAGCTGTGGAGTCTTGTGAGCAAAAATTCTATTTTGTGAGCTACTGACATTAAAGTTGGGAGCAAGTGATTTGGCTACTGCGTAAATTAGTTTGCTCTGGAGCCATCCTTCCTGAGCGAAGGCAAAAATGGGTGAGCCGGAGGCTAAAAAACTGAGCTGGCTCATACTAACTCCGCTTAGAGGGAACACTGGTGGTTAAGAGTGTATTGGTTAGGAGTGTAATCTGGGAGAACGGGGTTTGATTTCCCACTCCTCCACATGCAGCTGCTGGTGTGACCTTGGTTCAGT